TATCACAAGGTCAGGAGATTGAGACCATCCTGGCTAACATGGTGAAACCCCGTCTCTACTAAAAATACAAAAAATTAGCTGGGCGTGGTGGCGGGCGCCTGTAGTCCCAGCTACTCGGCAGGCTGATGCAGGAGAATGGCATGAACCTGGGAGGTGGAGCTTGCAGTGAGCCGAGATTGTGCCTCTGCACTCCAGCCTGGGCGACAGAGCGAGACTCCATCTCAAAAAAAAAAAAAGATAGTTATTATATGGAGAAAAAAATCTCAGCATCTAAGAAACTGATCAATAGAATAACAATTAAATACTTCTTTTCTTTAGCACAGTGAAGAGAACTTCTGTCAATTCCTATCAAGCACATGAAGATGTGAAGTTTCAACTGGATTCATTTCTATAAATAAGTTAAGTTCTTCCTAATTTATAAGAAATAACACTTTGCCAACTTAATAGTGTGTTTTCCCAGGTATTATGAAGAGAACATAAATGTTTATTCTAAGTATGTTTAGCTCTAGTTAAAATAGAAAAAAAATACAGATGTTCGAAAATCTCCAAAGAAATTAAATACAGTCAAAAGGGCATCTAACCAAGGAGCTGTCACTCTGAGGTCCTCTCTAAATGACGGAAGAGCTAGAAAAAGTCCATTTTTCCCCTTGAGAGTTGTACCCCCTTCCCAAGAGACAAATACAGAGACATGCACTTTCCTACACTTGAATTGTCTCTGTTAAAAATGTAAGGGGCAAGTCAAATAACACACCAGAAGGCTTTAAATTTTTGGATATCCTTCTGAACTTGAGATGTTTATCTGTATCCCACCTGAACTCCGAATCTTGTATGGGTCACTTGTCACCACTCTAAAATCTCCATTCCCTCCCCTTTTCTTCCTGGAAATTGACTACCTTTCCAGCAGATAAGAGGTCCCTTAGACAGTACACCCTGGGAGCTTCTGACTAGGTAGTACTTTAAGTGCTTCTGCTTCTTTGGCTGAGTGGTGAGCTTCAAGTTAATGTGGTTGGAAAATTCCGTGAAATATCGAAATCCTCTTTCTCCACAGCCGATACAATTTCCAGAAAACCCTGAAGTGAGGAAAACCAATGTTACTAATGGCCTTGTAAGTTGATACAATACTTTTATGTATTAAACAACATAGAAACGTTCACATTCTTTGATCCAAAAATGTCTCAATCTCAAGGAAATAATTCAGAGGGAAAAAAAACAGGTACACATTTCTTTAGCAGAGTTATTTTGTAACAGTGAAAGACTGGAAATAATTTAAATGCTGCTCTAAAAGGAAAGGAAAGGTTAGCCTCTAAAAGGTTAAGGAAATAGGGTTGATAAATACAGTAGATAATGGTTAAGGAAATAGAGCACATAATATAATAAAAAGCTTGGTTCTAGAATGTCTATTATTTCTTCCCCACATACTCCTTCCTTAGATAACCTGGTTCTCTGCCCTCTCTACCACTCAGACTTGCCTCCATGGTCACAGCTGGTGAGCTTGTGGCCCACCATCTGACCCAGTCTGGGACAGTCAGAATCTCTCTCCTGGAATTTTGAAATAAATACAAAAAGTCAGGCAGGTGGTACTGGACCCTGGATTTGTAAGGTTTTACAGAATTGGAATCCCAATTAGGGTTACGTCAGCCACAGGTAAGCTAGGGTATGGGAACCAAGAACCATGAAGAGGAAGCTGATCTGCCAAGAGGAGAGCAGAGCACGGGACAGATGTGCAAATTCAGGGCTCTATCAGCTTCTAGTTTCTGTGAGATCTAGCTATATTTTCCGACAGGAGTACCATGAGATTCCCATTTCTCCTTTTCTAACACTTCTTTATTCATACTAGCTTATTATTCCTTTAGATCTAATATCCAAATAATTCCACTCAGACAAATTAAACAAAACAAAAATGTTGGTGACCTGGTTAGAACAGGGGACACGGAAAAAAGAAGAAACAGAGAAAACTGGGAAGATGAAAAGCCATGCCTTTTTTTTTTTTTGCCATGCCTTTTTTTTATTGAAAATTAACTTTTCAGTCCCTCTTAATACACAGACTAAAAACAGACAGTAAGAGTGGGTTCTTCTTGTTGTGTCTGATGAGGACATAACACATTTACTGTGACATAGATGAAAAGCACAAAAATGTTGTAATAAGAAAGGGCATTCCATATTGTATAAAGGCAATATTTCTATACATAAATAACGGAAAACAAATTCACTGATGAAGTGATACACTCTTTTCAGACCTCTGAGCTAACCTGATAGATATTAATAATTAACAAAGATATATAAATTGAGAAGAGAAAAGCCACAAGGATTAATGATAGAATATCTCACAATATCCTAATCTCAGAATGCTAACCATCAATTCAAAGCATTTATAAATGGGAAGTCCAATTTATTATTATTCAGTCAACAACTATATATTGAGCATCTACCCATATGCTAGGCATTTTGCTAAACACTAGGGAAACAGTGGTGAAGAAGAGAGATTCATAACCTCTGGTCGATTACACAGAATTAATAACTTATTACTGCCACTTTATAGACATGTAAACAATATAATTTTATAAATGACTTAAAATATATTCAGAGATGGATTGTATTTGAGAGCATCTATTTGTCCAATACCTTAAAAAAGTAGCCCCTCCCCCTGCAAAAAAGGTTGCCAGTGGCTGCCTAGGTCACCAAAGTCATCCATCCATCTATCCATCCATCCACCCACCCATCCAACCATCCATCCACCCACCCATCCATCCATCCACCCACCCACCCACCCATCCATCCATCCATCCATCCATCCATCCATCCATCCATCCATCCATCCAACAAATACTGTATTATGTGCTAGACACTGTTGCAGGCACCAGGTTTTTTAGCACGAAACAAAGCAGACAAAGTCTCTGCCTTTGTGGAAACTACATTCTGGTTTGACCGTCGCACCTTCCTGGAAAACTGCCTGACCTGTGAAGTAGATATGCCACACCCAAAACACAGAAAAAAAGCTACAAGAACCTTTCAGCCAAAATAATCAAGAACAGTGCCAAAACATGAGGCTCAACTGATAGGTCCAAGTGGTTTAGAAAACATTCGTGTGAGAATTAGAATTCACAAACTACCGAGGTTAAGTTTGATCTTTTCCTCTGTCTATTCTGAGGTGAAAAGCAAGAGTGTGAAGAGGAAGAAAAGCCATGGGTTAGAATAACCTGCAAAGGAGAGAATCTTCACATTAATGATAAGTTAACAACATAAAAGAATTAGAATCCTACAGTCCATTTAAAAAACTCTGTATGGCTTCAGCATTAGCCTTCCTTCAAGGGAGATTTTATCTGCCTGAAGTTCTTGTTGTCATTGAAAACAAAAAATAACACCACTCTCAGCCAAATCACCTTTTAGTTTTTCTGGCAATCAAGTCTTCCAATTGCATGGCAGATTTGGGACACATGCACTACCAACTGGATCAATATATTTTTAAATCATTCCCCCATAGTCTTTGGAATCTGCATAGTTTATATAAAAATTTAGGCAAATTGATATTTGAATCCGCAGGGGTTCTAGAATAGCGGAAGCTTAAACATTTTTCCACTATATTTTAATGCATATGAAAATCATCCACTTTAAGTAAGAAATGTTGGGTATTAGTTTTTGGACAATAGAGTATCAAACACGTAAAAATCCCAACAATGTGCTTATTTAAGAAAAACCTTCTGCCATTTCGCTGTTGCACTGCACTTTTACATGGAGAAGTGGTCAGTAAAAAATTACGTCCACTTACAAGGCTAGAGAAAGTAAGCAAGGTTCCAAGTCTGTAAGAGTATTTAATAAACACAATAGTAAAATAATTGCCATTTGAAGAGTAAATACTATCTTCCAAGCACTGTGCTTGGTGGGTGCTTTAAGGACATCATCTCATTTGATCTTTATGACCCTGCAAGGTAGGTGTTAATGACCCCATTATATGCACGAGCAATCTAAAACTTTAAGTTCTTAAAATACTTGCTGAAGTTCTTGAAGTACTAAGTGGCAAATCTGGAATTTGAACACAGTTCTGATTCCAAAGCATATGGTCTTTGGTCTCACTCCTAATTTCTAAGGATTATGCAGTCTATTATTCTGATGGTGTTTTCTGTGTCTTTTGCATGACATACTCTAAGAGGATTCTCTAGTCACAAAGAATCATTGAACAAAAAATGCATTATGAGAGATTTTCATTGTCTACAGTCAGAGCCACGCCTGAACTGTTTCATCAGATGAGACGATAATGCTTTTCAAATGCTAAAAAGTTTTCTGAAGTTGTTCTACTACAGCCTACTAGGTAGTAAGCTCTGTATGGAATAGGACTGAGTCTTATAACTGTTGTGTCCCTACATGAGAGCCTCGTGTGATTTCTGTCATGCAGTACATTTTGAATAAATACTGCTTAATAAAAAAACGAGTAGTTGGATCGTCTTTGCTAATTTAGTCCAGCATATTAGATTTATCATTAGACTTCTATATTAAACCATCTGCTCAATTTCACTAAACAAAAAAAAGTGAAAATGTTTTTTGTTTTTTTTTTTTTTAGTAGAGACAGGGTTTCACTGTGTTAGCCAGGATGGTCTCTATCTCCTGACCTTGTGATCCACCCGCCTCGGCCTCCCAGAATGCTGGGATTACAGGCGTGAGCCACTGTGCCCGGCCGAAAATGTTCTTTTTTTATGAGAGCCTTATGAAAAATGAAAACTACCATTTCTTTTCCTATGAACCATGAGAAGTCTTAAACTATAATTTAAGGAACTTCTATAAAGCGTGTGCAGGCTCACTTATTGATCAGTGTATTGCTAGACTTTCTGATGACACTATATAACTAGGAAGAATGTATCAAACTACATAAATAAATACATATCATGATCAATACAATATTTGAATTCACTGCTCTATTCTTTTTCCTTTTCACTGATATTTGTGCCTAAAACATGATTTTCATCTATAGTAAGACAAATTCTGAGAAACAAAAACAACAGCAGAGAAATGCAGCAGTAAAAAAGCAACAAATCTCATGTGCTATCTTTTTAATTATTTAAAATAACATAAATCAAGTCTGTTATTTATGATATAGGGAGGCTATGTTGTGAGAAAGCCCAGACACTAATATCACAAAGTAAAATAATTCTGAGATAAAGTCATTTACATTTTATATCACATAGATAGAAATATAAAGATATATAGTCCTAGTTATTTTGGGTGAACTAATGTTAAATATAAAGTGAGATTCACATCACACAAGTATAGATAGAAATAATGTGTGGTATGGAAAAACAACAAATAACTTACAAAGTGAATAATCCACAGATGAATAATTGAGAGTTGACTTGATATCAGGTCCAGTATCAGAGCTGACTTGATATCAATGACTATAGAGAGTGAATTCTCTTTTCTTTATAAAATATTAATTTTTGATAAATTGCATGCTTTTTAAAAATGTCTGGTCAAAATTTAATTCATTTAATTAAGCTAAGTGTTTTGAGAATTAATAAAAATGAAAAGGCTGGGCGTGGTGGCTCATGCTTGTAATCCCAGCACTTTGGGAGGCCAAGGCAGGCAGATCATCTGAGGTCAGGAGTTTGAGACCAGCCTGGCCAACATGGTGAAATCCTGGCTTTACTAAAAATACAAAAAGTAGCTGGGCATGATGGTGGGCACCTGTAATCCCAGCTACTCAGGAGGCTGAGGCAGGAGGATCGCTTCAACCCAGGAAGCAGAGATTGCAGTGAGCTGAGATTGTGCCACTGTACTCTAGCCAGGGTGACAAGAGCGAAACTCTGAAAAAAAAAAAAAAAAAAAAAAGAAAGACAGAAAAAAAGAAAGAAAGAAGAGAAGGAAGGAAGGAAGGAAGGAAGAAAAATAAATGTTTAAGAAGTTACTGCCTGTAATCCCAGCACTTTGGGAGGCCAAGACAGGCAGATCACGAGGTCAGGGATTTGAGACCACTCTGGCCAATATGGTGAAGCCTTGTCTCTACCAAAAATACAAAAATTAGCTGAGTGTGGTGGCATGCGCCTATAGTCCCAGCTACTCGGGAGGCTGAGGCAGGAGAATCACTTGAACCTGGGAGGCAGAGGTAGTAGTGAGCCTGGACTGCATCACTGCATTCCAGCCTGGGCGATGGAGCAAGACTCCATCTCAAAAAAAAAAAAGTTACTAAAAGAAAAAAATGTATCATAATTGAACTAAACTATATAATCCCCAAATAATCCTCTGGTATATTTTTAAAATTTCTGCAGTTGTTTTAAATAAATGTGTATTTTAACTCCCTCATATTGAAAGGAATTTTATAAGCATGAAATACTCACCTAAAAGTGCATTTTTTCCATGATCATCCGGTAGAAATCGCTTGTCCACAGCACAAACTAGGATGTGTTCAGGCAGATTGGGAGACTTGGCCCCCACCAGGAGGAATCCTGCTGGGATGTCAATTTGTTCCATACACAGTGATACCAAACGCAAATCCTTTCCTGCTTGACAAAAACCTAAAAACCAGTTTTAAAAAAAAGGACACAGTGAAATGTTTAGTGAGATTATATCTTCTTATCACTCATTTGGAGAGTAGATTTACTTGTGGGAATCACTATTAAACACTAAATTAAAGTCCCTATATCCCTTTACTCCAACCAGAAGACAAATCTATCAAGTGTGGCCTTCTGAACAAAGCTGAAAAGACACTGAAAGGAAATATTACCCTCTGCTTCACTCCAAAGTGACGACTTCATATTTTCTTTTTCTTTTCTTTTTTCTTTTTTTTTTCGAGACAGAGTCTCGCCCTGCTGCCCAGGCTGGAGTGCAATGGTGGGATCTCAGCTCACTGCAACCTCCGCCTCCCAGGTTCAAGCGATTCTCCTGCCTCAGCCTCCCAAGTAGCTGAGATTACAGGCACGCACCACCACACCCAGCTAATCTTTTTTTTTTTTTGTATTTTTAGTAGAGATGGAGTTTCACCATGTTGGCCAGGCTGGTTTCGAACACATGACCTCGTGATCCACCCACCTTGCCCTCCCAAAGTGCTGGGATTACAGGTGTGAGTCTGGTCCACAAGTGAGGCAATGATAAATACACAACAAACTTTGAAAACCATGCAGTTTGTATGTGCATGTAATAGGGTTATTTTACTTCCAATGCAAATTCACTTCTCTAGATGGGGATAGAGTCAGAATAGATACTCTTTATTTCACAGAGGAAGAGACTGAAGTTCAGAATTTTGTGGCTCCTAGATGAACGGGCCAAAACTGTTACATTTCACTTTTTACCATGATATGACATGACAAGTTGCGACAAAATCTTACATAACCACTTTGTATATCATAATGTATTCTATGAATTCATCTGTTCATCATTTATAAAACAAACATTTACAACAAATGCTGTCCGAGACCAGGAGATACAGAATTGAACAAAATATGTCTTCCTCCAAGAACTCACATTGCAGTTAACTGGAAGAATGTATAAGGAACCAAGAATCACAGACAGTGTTACAGGGAACAGCTACAGTTCTGCTACAAATCTTCTGGGGAATGATTCTGTCTGTACTCTAATCATGTGACTTCCTCAGGGAGTTGTGACACTTCAAACTGATGTGGAGCTAGGACCTGATCCAGCTGGGCCACTTTGATAGCCCAACTTTCTGGCCATAGTTGATTGGTCCAAGGGTAGACGCATGACATAAACAGGGCCCATCAAAGCCTGTTCCCTAGAAAATCTGAACATGGAGCCAAGGAGAGCATGGTTCAGTCTGCTTAGTGCCAGCCCTGTTCCTTGACCTGGGAGGGAACTCCGTCACCATGGGCAGGAGGCTGAAAGATTGTTCTGGAGGTGTCTGAATCCCTGAGCCTGCTGTATCTGCCTTTCCCAAGGTTTGGCCGTGAAACCTTTTCTTTGGAACTCTTTCAGTCATGTCTTCATTTTACCTAAGCCATTTTCAGTTGGGTTTCTGTCATTTGCAACCAAGAGAGGCTGAATGAAAGTATAATAAATGCTATTTCAGGCCAGGTGCAGTGGCTCACACCTGTAATCCCAGCACTTTGGGAGGCTGAGGTGGGCGGATCACTTGAGGTTGGGGTTCAAGACCAGCCTGGTCCACATGGTGAAACCCTGTCTCTATTAAAAATACAAAAAAAAAAAAGCCAGGTGCGGTGGCTCACACTTGTAATCCCAGCACTTTGGGAGGCAGAAGCGGGTGGATCATGAGGTCAGGAGATGGAGGCCATCTTGGCTAACATGGTAAAACCCCATCTCTACTAAAAATACAAAAACTTAGCCAGTTGTGGTGGCGGGCACCTGTAGAGACAGAGCTTGCAGTGAGCCCAGATCATGCCACTGCACTCCAGCCTGGGCGATAGAGTGAGACTCTGTCTCAAAAAATAAACAAACAACAACAACAACAACAAAAGAGAATTAGCCGGGCATGGTGGCACATGCATGTAATCCCAGTTACTTGGGAGGCCGAGGCAGGAGAATCACTTGAACCAGGGAGGCAGAGGTTGCAGTGAGCCGAGATCGCATCATTGCACTCCAGTCTGGGCAACAGCGTGAAACTTGCTCTCAAGAACAGGAAATGCTATTTTCCTGTTTCCATTTTCTGAAAATGCTATTTCAGAAAATTTTGGAAGCAAGGAGGACACCTACCTTTCCATACACAAACCCTAGGAAAGCACCATTATCATTGCCCAATACAAAATAGGGAAAAACCATGCTAGATTCTCCTAGCATCAATTCATGTTATGATATTAACCAAGTGTCAAAAATCATTGAATGCCATCAGTTACTGGCATGAGAAATAAAAAAGAAAACACCATCAAAACATTGGATGAGGCCAGGTGCAGTGGCTCACGCCTGTAATCCCAGCACTCTCGGAGGCCCAGGAGGGCAGATTGCTTGGGTCCAGGAGTTCAAAACCAGTCTGGGCAACGTGGTAAAATCTCATCTCTACAAAAAAAATACAAAAATTAGTCGGGCCTGGTGGTGAGCACTTGTAATCCCAGCTACCTGGGCAGTTAAGATGGGAGCATCCCTTGACCCAGGGAGGCAGAGGTTGCAGTGAAGCCAGGATTGTGCCATTGTACTCCAGCCTGGGCAACAGAGCAAGACCCTGTCTAAATTTTTTTTTTTAAAGAAAAAAAATTAAAATTAAAATTGAAAGAAAAACATGAAGTGGTGGGGCATATTAAATTTACCGTATAGTTTGGGTCATCAAACCTCAAAAACAAGCCTAATAGAAGTGGGAAAAGACAGTAGAAGAATAAAATTATCAGGACTACAGAGCTCAATCATTTCAAGCTTATAGAACCCTTTTTAACATTAACAAAAGTGAATTTAAGCTCTAAAAGTCAATTTAACTCTAAAAATTCATGAATTAAGAAAAAATACAAAAACTTATGACTTCTTCAGCAATTTTAAATGAATCTGCATTTGTTCAAAATATCATTTATATTGATCTGGAAAATAGTCATTAAATATGTGGGTCATATTACTTAGTTTACAAACATTTTTTGAAGCCTATTTGATACATGGAACCCATAGGAAAATAAAATTGCTGTGCCCACCCACCTCTATTAAGGAACAGGCTCACAGGTTTGGAAGTTGGGAATTGATGATGATGATGATGGCAGCTAAAACTTACGGAGCACTCGCCATAGCCAGGCACAATGCTAAATACTATATAGATTATCTTATTCAGTCCTCTCAACACTCAAGACTGGTACTATCTCCTTTTCATAGATGGAGAAACTGAGGCTCATAAAGATTAGGAAACTTGTCCAAGGTTACACAAAGAGTTCTGTAATGCTCAGGATGTAAGACAGAGGAAATTTGCCACCGTGAAAACAGACAAAAAGCATACTATTTAACTTGGCAAAAGAGAAGCTAAGAATAATTACAATACAGTGCTAAAACTGTGACGGGTGAACACAGACTTTTTCATCAAATTCTAAAATACTAAATCTAGGAGTCATATTAAAGTACCAAAAGGAACGCTAATTTATTTTAATCAAATAAGTTACTAATTTGCATATAGACAGTAAACCTAGGTTTACAGACATAAACCTAGTTCATGATTGGCCTATTAATGGAAAGCAGGATGCTTGGGGAGCTATCTCTGTCACTGAGAAGTAGTAATACAATCTTTCTACAATGTTGACTCACTCTGTATTAGAAAAAGTATACCAGATGGAACCACAAGTCTGTATCAATTTGCAAATTATGTTATATGGAACCTCAAGATCATCTAATAAAGCATTTCTCAATATAAGTGGTGAAGTCCCAGGGATTCATAAAAAATGTTCCAAGATACTTGGGAATAGTAAGTGAAATTTAAATAGACATCATTATCAACTTCTAAAAATGAATAAATAATTAGTGTAAGTATCCTACTTTTAAAACAGAATGTTCTAAGGGCCTTTCATCTAACACATGTAGGGTTAATGGAAACCAGCTGAGTGAGCTCACAATTCACTCAGTCAAACCCCATATCATTGTGTGGTTTTGACTATACGAGTTCAGATTGTTTTCATTTTCAGTCATATGTACTGACATATTCCTTAACTTATACACAGAACAGGCTGTTGGTTAAAGATGGGAAGCTCAGGAAACTTTCTGTGTTAATAACACAAAAAAAGAAATTTTATAAATGTGCCTAAATTTGCTTTTTGGGGGAACATATTTTCAGGGAAACTGTACTTTTAAAAGCTCTTTGGTAGATACAAAAGTTAAATTCATTCACCACACTCACTCAACAAATTAAAAGATTGTATAAAATGAAGCAATATGTTTTTCCAGGACATCAAAAAACAAATGTTAAAAAGGTAAAAATTTAGCGATTATAATCCAATTTGGCTTTTAATACACGAGGAAGAAAACACTGCCTCTTTCAACTCTATCAGCAGTTACCTACAAACAGCAGCCTACAACTTTTCCATCACATAGAACAAAAATGCAAAAACTATAAACCACTATACCCTTTAACCGTAAAATGTAGAATTTCCAAAATTTAGGCATTAAAAGTAGATTTTGACTTTTTTTAATGCTGTAAAACATTTAAATACATTTAGCTCCTCTCATCCTCCTCAAAACAAATATAATAGTTTATTTTTGTTTGTTTGTTTGTTTGTTTTTGGTTTTTTTTTTCTGAGACAGAGTCTGGCTCTGTTGCCCGGGCCGGAGTGCAGTGGCCGGATCTCAGCTCACTGCAAGCTCCGCCTCCCGGGTTTATGCCATTCTCCTGCCTCAGCCTCCCAAGTAGCTGGGACTACAGGCGCCCGCCACCCCGCCCGGCTAGTTTTTTGTATTTTTTAGTAGAGACGGGGTTTCACCGTGTTAGCCAGGATGGTCTCGATCTCCTGACCTTGTGATCCGCCCGTCTCAGCCTCCCAAAGTGCTGGGATTACAGGCTTGAGCCACCGCGCCCGGCCTACACTTTATTTTTAAATTTGTCAACAAAACATGCTTTTTCTTACACAACAAATTTAAAGTAAGTTAATCA